GGGGTGCTCCAACCCCCTAATCCTCTTGACTGCCTCCCTTCTGTACTTTTGTCCAGCTCTGCATTGCCCTTTTTTGAGCTACGGTGACCAGCGTTCCCTCTAGGCTGAGTCAGTGTGGAGCCAGCTCACAGTTTTTTAGCCCCCAGCTCACACATTTTTGTCTTTGCTCAGGACGGACGGCTCCAGAACAATGTAATTCTTGCAGTAGCCAAATCGCCCGCTCACAACTTTAATGCCAGCAGCTCACAAAGTGGAATTTTTGTTCACAGGACTCCACATCTTAGAGGGAACATTGAGTCGGTGACCCAGAGAGACTTCAGTTCCACAGCCTGTAAATTCTGCAGCTCTACAATCCTATCCTGTCCATCCCTACCTCCTGCCCCAAATTCTCCCCCACCCCCGTAGACAGGGTTTTGTGGCTTGTGGGGCGAATTCTTTTCCTGGTGGGGCTGAAGTTCTCAGTGCAGAAAGAAAAGCCCTTTAGCCAATAGACAGCTGTGACCAGGATAGAGCTCTCTAAATTGCAAGCTGTCAGCCGCTTTAGACGACAATTCTCAGCTGCTGCAAGTTAATCACTTCTGCCGGCTGAAGCAACAATTCTGAGAACAAGCTGGCAGGTGGGGGCGATGTCTTCTATAGTCAAGAAAGCTGACACTCAGGCAGAAAAACTCTCTTCAAGGAGACCAGTTTCTTGACACAGAGTTAGAAGGGATCCTAGAGGTCACCTACTCCAACCCCCTTGCTCAGTGGGGGAATTAGTCAGCTACAGTACCCCAGTGTGCTTAAAGGAGCGAACACCTTTAAAAATGTTTTAAAACTATTGAAAAAAGCATTTACAGGAGAAAGTCTTGCGGGGCTGTGCTTTTAAGAAAGGGGGCAAAGCCCCCAAAAGGCCCACCATAGCTAGGATCCTGCCCATCTCTTTTACTCACTTTCATCCAGCTGCTGGTACTGGGAGTGCAGCGAAGCCAACAACACCTTGCAGGGTTTCCGGGGCAGGGACCGCGGAGACAGCAGCTTCCGTTCTTCACTCCTGTGTGCAGAGGAAAGCTGCCCGTACGGTTAGTGCCTCCTGAGAACGCCCCCACCCAACACCCCCCCCACCTGCCCCCTCCCCCACTCGCAGAGTTCAGTGTCCTGTGTGTGTCTTTGGAGAGTGAAGCGTGAAAAGCTTTAAAGAGAGTCTGTGGAACTCTAAAAGTACTGTGAGAGAGTCTATAAGGAAAAGAAACAAGCTGTGTCTAAACTGTGCGATTAGACCAATGTTTTATCCTGTGTGGAAAAGTCAAAGAGTTTAGCCGGCTTGGCTACATATATGAGAAAGAGAATCCTGTCAGAGCGGAATTTTGGTGTCTGAGAGACTGGTGTGACACCAAGCTTGCTAGTTATATTTTACAAGTTCCTTTTCCCAGAAACCTATTTTGTTCTTATTCAATAAATCCATTTTTGTTTAAATATATCCCAGAATTCAGTACAGTCCTTCCTCAGGGACACATAGTCCCCTGAAGTGCCCAGACCCTGGGCCACACTACCAAAGGAGAGAGATTTGGAATTTTTAATTCCTGGTGGCAGCAGATAACTACCAAGTTTATACACACAAAGTGTGAATTAAAGGGAAAACTGTTTCCCCCATAAGCAAGCACATCACAAAGTATGATTTAAAGGCAAAACAGTCCCCCCCCCAGGAAGGATGCCACACCCACCACCACCGCAAGCACGGCAAGGAGTGAGCGAGGAACGGGGTCGCCGGGCAGGAAAAGGGGGACAGGAGGCCAACCCCCAGGGCCCGCCCTGCAGGGGAGACTCACTGGAAGATGGTGTTGGTATCCAGGTCGACGCAGATGACATCGTGAGGCGGGTCGTAGAGGTCGAAGTAGCTGGAGTGGAGGCCCACAATGAAGGGCACCGGGGCACACAGTACGTCGGCCAGGGTGAGTGGGCACAGTGGGATATACGGGCACTGCCAGTGCAGGGGGAAAATGATCTGCAAGAACACACGGGGGAAAGGGGTTCAGGACTGGCGTTCAGCCGGGGAAGGAAGCCCCAATGCCAGAATACAGAACCCAAGAAAGAACTAGGTTTATAAGATTATGCATGGGAAAGAGCAGGTCGAGAAAGAGGTACTTTTCTCCCTTTCTCACAATACAAAAACTCGTGGGCACTCCATGAAATTGCTGAGCGGTCGGGTTAGAACGGATAAAAGGAAGTCCTTCTTCACCCAAAGAGTGATTAACACATGGAATTCACTGCCACAGGAGGTGGTGGCGGCTACAAGCATGGACGGCTTCAAAAGGGAATTAGATAAGCATATGGAGCAGAGGTCCATCAGTGGCTATTAGGCACAAGGTATAGATAGGGGCTCTGGGGCAAGTGATGCTCTGTCTTCTTGGTGCTTGGGGGGGGGGGCAACAGTGGGAGGGCTTCTAGTGTCCTGGCCCCACTGCTGGACCTCCTGATGGCACCTGGTATTTTTGGCCACTGTGTGACACAGAGTGTTGGACTGGATGGGCCTTTGGCCTGATCCAACATTGGCATCTCTTATGTTCTTAACTGAAGCATCATGTAAGTATTAACACGACACATTAAGCGGTACAGAAATGACATAATAGGATCCGACTTACAATAAGCTGTACACAGCAGTCGAGACCACAGTCCCTAGCTGTTTCTCCAAACAAGTTTGTAAAACCGTTCTGTACAATGCAACCTCGCATTACCAGCATGGAAAAGCCCTCTTTAATGATTCAGGATTGCATCGTTGCTGGAAAACCAGGAGAGCGGGAGCAGGCCATTTCCGCAAGGTAGGAGCCACCACAGAGAAGGCAGGGGTAGGGCAGTGGTTGATTTTGTCCATTAGCAGGTTGGCACCTGCAGAAGGCCCGGCTCAGATGAGCAAAGCAGAGACGGTTTCCTTTCTGGAACAGCGTTCCAGCATGCAACTACGATGCCCTCTGTGTCACACAGTGGTTAAGAGCCAGGGGCCATCAGGAGGTCCACCAGCGAGGCCAGAACTCCAGAAGCCCTCTCACTGTTGCCCCCCCCCCAAGCACCAAGAAGACAGAGCATCACTAGTGGCCCCAGACAGAGTGTTCCATCTAGACCTTGGGGCTAACAGCCACTCATGGACCACCGCTCCATATGTTTAAGCTAAGGTTGTCTGTGGCAGGCAGAGATGTAAAATTTCCGGAAATTTTGAAGCTCGGAAAAAACCCCGTTTTTTCCCCAATTTTTTTCCGGAAAAAACCAGAAATTTTCGGAAAAATTGAAAAAAATGCTACATTAGCATTTCTTTTGTCTTTTCTAGATTGAAAGTCATTCTATTACTTTAGGAACATAAAATATGACTATGGACATTTTTAGTTGGCATGAAATTATCACAACTAGCATATTAAAAATATAGTGTATCTAAACAATTATTACAAACAGAATACCCATCCACATGCAAAAACAAAACTGAAACTTTTTTATTTTCTTCTAACAATCGCACCTCCTAAAGGAAGAAATGCATCTTGTTCTTGCATTGGAGAGTTCAGTTTGTAACCTAGGACTTAATTGTCCTCAGTGCACAGAAATTAGATCAATCTGATACCATATATATGTGTGTGTGTGTGTGTGTATAAGAAATGATTTGGAAAATATTTGAACACCTTGTCTTAAAATATTTTATTCATCATGTTAAAATAAAATGTTCCATAATCAATTTTTTTTCTTTTCTTTTTCCAATTTTTCCAATTTTTCGGAAAAAAACCAAAAAGGCTTCAGGAAAAAAACAGGAAAAGCCCGTTTTTTTTTCCTGAATTTTTCCGTTTTTTTTCCGGGCCTTCACATCTCTAGGCATAACTCATCCAAAAATAAAGCTAGGCGTCTCAAAATTGGCCATCAGCTTCAGGATGCTGGTGGGACTTGCAGTGCCGAAAATGGAGGGAATCAAACCATCGTGGCACAGATTAGCTCCACCACCACATCCCTAGATGGACCCTCACTGGTCTGATCCAGCAGGGCTCTTCTGATGTTCTTATGAGGGGAAGGCCTCGGCCTCTCTGGCCTATTGTTGGCCCTCCAGAGGAACTGGTTGAGACCACTGTGTGAGACAGGATGCTGGATGAGATGGACCCTCACTGGTCTGATCCAGCAGGGCTCTTCTGATGTTCTTATGAGGGGAAGGCCTCGGCCTCTCTGGCCTATTGTTGGCCCTCCAGAGGAACTGGTTGAGACCACTGTGTGAGACAGGATGCTGGATGAGATGGACCCTCACTGGTCTGATCCAGCAGGGCTCTTCTGATGTTCTTATGAGGGGAAGGCCTCGGCCTCTCTGGCCTATTGTTGGCCCTCCAGAGGAACTGGTTGAGACCACTGTGTGAGACAGGATGCTGGATGAGATGGACCCTCACTGGTCTGATCCAGCAGGGCTCTTCTGATGTTCTTATGAGGGGAAGGCCTCGGCCTCTCTGGCCTATTGTTGGCCCTCCAGAGGAACTGGTTGAGACCACTGTGTGAGACAGGATGCTGGATGAGATGGACCCTCACTGGTCTGATCCAGCAGGGCTCTTCTGATGTTCTTATGAGGGGAAGGCCTCGGCCTCTCTGGCCTATTGTTGGCCCTCCAGAGGAACTGGTTGAGACCACTGTGTGAGACAGGATGCTGGATGAGATGGACCCTCACTGGTCTGATCCAGCAGGGCTCTTCTGATGTTCTTATGAGGGGAAGGCCTCGGCCTCTCTGGCCTATTGTTGGCCCTCCAGAGGAACTGGTTGAGACCACTGTGTGAGACAGGATGCTGGATGAGATGGACCCTCACTGGTCTGATCCAGCAGGGCTCTTCTGATGTTCTTATGAGGGGAAGGCCTCGGCCTCTCTGGCCTATTGTTGGCCCTCCAGAGGAACTGGTTGAGACCACTGTGTGAGACAGGATGCTGGATGAGATGGACCCTCACTGGTCTGATCCAGCAGGGCTCTTCTGATGTTCTTATGAGGGGAAGGCCTCGGCCTCTCTGGCCTATTGTTGGCCCTCCAGAGGAACTGGTTGAGACCACTGTGTGAGACAGGATGCTGGACGCGATGGACCCTCACTGGCCGACTGCTGGCCCTCCAGAGGAACTGATTGAGACCACTGTCTGAGACAGGATGCTGGACGAGATGGACCACTGGTGATCCAGCAGGGCTCTTCTGATGTTCTTATGAGGGGAAGTCCTCGGCCTCTCTGGCCTATTGTTGGCCCTCCAGAGGAACTGGTTGAGGCCACTGTGTGAGACAGGATGCTGGACGAGATGGTCCCTCACTGGTCTGGTCCAGCAGGGCTCTTCTGACATTCTTATGAGGGGAAGGCCTCGGCCTCTCTGCCCTGTTGTTGGCCCTCCAGAGGAACTGGTTGAGGCCACCGTGTGAGGCAAGATGCTGGACTAGATTAACCACTGGCCTGATCCAGCAGGGCTCTTCTTACGTTCTTATGAACTAGGGGACTGGCAAGCAGAGCAAGTAGTGATGGAGCCCCTCATAAATAGAGTAAAACTCACCGAGACCAGGGCTTCGCCTACGCTGGTCAAGACGTCCGGCCGCAGAGAATGGATGAGTAACTTCTGCTCAGTAAGGATCGCCACGAGGAGGGCGACGGCGTTTTCGGGGCCCAGTGTCTGCAGCAGGGTCAGGAAACTGGCACCACTGCAAGGGAAGGGCAGATGCAGAACAGTTTTGACTCTTTGCCGCCATTCTAGCAGGACGCTACCAGAGGCTTGCGTCCCTTTGATGATGCCCACGCGTCAGAACGCCGACCCTCCCGCCTCATGCACGGTCCCCCGCTGTTCTTCCTACCTCAGTGGCAGCGGCGAAGACACAGGCTGGCATAAGAGCACGTTGTCGTAAGAAGACATCTGGTAGGATAGAGAAAGAACACAATCAGCCTTTGGGACTCAGAGACCTGGCAAAGGACTCTGTGAGAGCAGCAGAGTTGGCAAAGGGCTCCGCAAGAGCAGCAGAGATGGCAAAGGGCTCCGTAAGAGCAGCAGAGATGGCAAAGGGCTCTGTGCTCAAGCTGAGAGGCAAAGCTGGGGAACATACAATGCCCACACTGGTGCAAATCCAGTCCTCACTGGTTCCTGTCTGGCCCACAGCAGTCTCTGATGCCAAAAGGATCTCCTCCACCAACACTACCAATGCATCTCCATCACACCTTTTTTGAGATATCAGCAAAGGCCTCTTTAAATTCTCCCACTCTTTCTGCCAAGAGAGGCTTTGGCCCAGCCTTTCTCTTGTTATGTTACCACAGCTTTTCACTGTCAGGCACAAGGAAACAGTATCACAGAAGGGATCTCTCAAAGGCCTTGTTGCTATTCACAACGAGCAAGAAGGGGTTAAAGAGCCCTTTAGCCTTTAGAACATAAGAGAAGCCGTGCTAGATCAGGCCAATGGCCCATCCAGTGGGGCCTTAGGCTCATCTGATGTGGTAATGGGTGGAGTCTATATCACAGGCTATTCCACCCCCATGCTCAGTTCAAAAAGACAGGCCCCATTTAAAAGGAGTCCCTGGCCAGAGGCATACATTGGCCAGTGTCCATTCCAACACACACCCGATAGGTATCTCCTGGGCTCCAATTCATCAACAAGCTATTTAAGTTGTTACAGGACAAGGGTTTTGTGTTCAGAAAGGTGAAAGAGAACATTTTCTGTTGTCTGCACAGGTAGCCACCGGGAAGAACACACACACACACACACACACACACACATTCCAACCTATCAGAGCCAGCCAACTGCTGCGGTCACCCCCTTGTCCTTACCTGAACCAGAATCCGGGGCCTCTGCGGAGATGGGAAGGGGACGTTATGCATGAAGTGGGAGATGTGTCTAAAAAGCAAACACCGTAAAAGTCACCAGGAAGAAAGAGGTCCAGGCAAAGCAACAAAGACCAAAAAAATCCTATCTTACCCTGCCCGCTACAATCTGCCTTTAATAACAACTTTAAGGTTCAAGAATCAGTGAGCAGTCCTGTTACTACAAAACCAGCAGATCAGATCACAAATGTTTGTCTTAGCTCAGGAAGGATGGCTCCAGAGCAAACGAACTGATGCAGTAGCCCAATCGCTCGCTCACAACTTTGATGTCAGTATCTCACAAGTAGAATTTTTGAAAAAGAAGAAGAGATTGGATTTATACCCCGCCCTTCACAACCCAAAGGTGTCTCAGAGCGGCTTACAAACGCCTTTTCCCTTCCCCTCCCCACAACAGACACCTTGTGAGGTAGGTGGGGCTGAGAGAGCTCTTTACAGAAACTGCTCTTTTTCAAGGACAGCTCCGACAGAACTAAGGCTTGCCCAAGGTCATCCAGCCAGGTGCAAGTGGAGGAGTGGGGAATCAAACCCGGTTCTCCCAGATTAGAGTCTGCGCACTTAACCACTACAGCAAACTGGCTCACAACACTCCACAGTTTAGAGGGAACATTGTTCACAGGGTGTGTGTGTGTGGGGGGGGGGGGAGGTATTTGTGAATCTCCTGCATTGTGCAGGAGGTTGGACTAGATGACCCTGGAGATCTCGTCCGACTCTAGGATTCTAACTTTGCCCCACCAGTAAAAGGGACCTGTCCCCCATCCTATATTGAATTGTCATTTTACTGTATTTTAACTTTTAACGTAAGCCGCTCTGAGCTTGCTTCAGCGGAAAGGGCGGGATACAAATTGAATTAAATAGATGCTCTGGCATCGAACAGCAGCAGGAGACTCCACTTCAGAGGGCGGAAGGCCTGCAACTTTCCTCAGAAGGACGGAAGAAAAGCTGCTTTGCAGGCGTCCCGGAGGAGGGTGATCCAACATTACGAGGCCACAACCAAAAATGCCCTGCGCCACATCCAAACTCACCCGACCCACACTTTTTAAAAACACATTTAAGTGTGTTTTTTTAAATTTAACTTATTACAAAACGATATTATTATTAACATTTGTGTTCACAGTCCGTGTTGACAGTTGTTATGGGCTATTACACGCATCAGATTTTGGAATTCTAAGAGCGTCAGTGTATTCACGCTACCAAAACTGCGTCTTATCTATTACTCCGGGAATTTCGTCTTGAGCAGGCTTGCACTTTTTAAGACGGTATGTTCAAGACCTTGTTAGTAGGGTTTCAGTGGGATTCATACAGGGGAAATGAGGAGGAAATGCTCCCCCCCCCCAAAAAAAATCAACCCCTCCTCCTCTTCTTCTTCCACAATAATAGAACACAAACATTCTTTTTTACCCAGAGGTCAAGACCAGTGTTCCCTCTAAGCTGAGTTAGTGTGGAGCTAGATCACAGTTTTTTAGCCTCCAGCTCACACATTTTTGCCTTAGCTCAGGAAGGATGGGGCCCCAGAGCAAACTTATTTATGCAGCAGCCAAATCGCTCGCTCACAACTTTAATGCCAGTGGCTCACAGAGTAGAATTTCTGCTCACAAGACTCCACAGCTTAGAGGGGAGCACTGGTCAAGACTGGCACTTTGTGTGGAGCCCAGAACCAAAGCCGGAACAGACACTGCAAAAGTGTAGCCCTTGATAGCTTATTCCTTCCTCCATGGACTTGGCTAATCCTATGTTGAGGAGGAGCGCTGGGCTTTTCCAGCCTATGACCTGGCCTGCGCACGGAACAGGAGGAGGCAGAATTCTATGGTAACAGCCTGGAATGGACCGAAGGAGGCTGCAGGTCAGAGCGTACAATGTGCAAAGGCTTCCTTGTGTCTTTTTAAAAAAACACCCCGCAAATTGAAAAAGTAGCACATTTCAGAGAAAGGGTTGGGTCTGAACCTGTCTTCTTGACCTGTTGGGTTTTCTGCTTGGAGCTTGGTTTGCTTGTTTCGAAGGTGAAAGGTGAAGCACGCCGCTGAGTCGTGACGGGCTGGATGACCCCCATGGAGTTCTGACTCACGGGGTTCTCTGCTTCGCCCCTCCCTTCCTCTCGGTAGCGGCCCCAGGCTTCCTTGTGAGAGCCAGTTCGGTGTGGTGGTTAAGTGCGCGGACTCTAATCCAGGAGAAGTGGGTTTGATTCCCCACTCCTCCACTTGCACCTGGCCGGATGACCTTGGGCAAGCCGTAGTTCTGATAAGAGCCGTTCTTGAAAAAAGAGCAGTTTCTGTCAAGAGCTCTCTCTGCTGCACCTACCTCCCAGGGTGCCCGTTGTGGGGAGGGGAAGGGAAAGGAGTTTGTAAGCCGCTCTGAGACACCTTTGGGTAGTGAAAGGCGGGGTATAAATCCAACCTCTTCTTCTTCAAGAGTAGTTTCTGTCAAGAGCTCTCTCTGCCCCACCTACCTCACAGGGTGCCCGTTGTGGGGAGGGGAAGGGAAAGGAGTTTGTGAGCCGCTCTGAGACACCTCTGGGTAGTGAAGGGCGGGGTATAAATCCAATCTCCTCTTCTTCTTTTACCTCACAGGGTGTCTGTTGTGGGGAGGGGAAGGGAAAGGAGTTTGTAAGCCGCTCTGAGACTCCTTTGGGTAGTGAAGGGCAAGGTATAAATCCAATCTCTTCTCTTCTTCTTCTTTTACCTCACAGGGTGTCTGTTGTGGGGAGGGGAAGGGAAAGGAGTTTGTAAGCCACTCCGAGACACCTTTGGGTAGTGAAGGGTGGGGTATAACTCCAATCTCTTCTTCTTCTTCTTCCTTGGTGGTCTCCCATCCAAGTACCGATCCTGATTAGCTTCTGAGATCTGATGAGATCGGGCTAGTCTGGGCTATTGGTGGTGGTGGAAAGAGCCATCACGTTGCAGCAGGCTTACAGCGAACCCACACGGGGTTTTCAAGGCAAGAAATGAACAGAGGCAGTTTGCAGTTGCCGGCCTCTGCATAACGACCCTGGGCTTCCTTGGTGGCCTCCTGTCCTAGTACTAACCGGGGCCGACCCTGCTTAGCCTCCGAGATCGAGGTAGCCTGGGCCGTCCAGGGCAGGGCAGTCTGGGCTATCAAGGTGCAGCACAGAAATATATTCCTCCGCCTACACTCTGCTTCAAGCCGCTCTCCCACCACCTTCCCAACACACAGAATAAAATCATAGAATCATAGAGTTGGAAGGGACCTCCAGGGTCATGTAGTCCAGCCCCCTGAACAAGGCAGGAAATTCACAAATACCACCCCCCTCCACACCCACAGTGACCGCTGTTCCATGCCCAGAAGATGACAAAAACCGTCCAGGATCCCTGAATAAACACGTTGTACCACAAGTGAAAGGACATAAGAACATCAGAAGAGCCCTGCTGGATCACACCAACACTCTATCTAGTCCAGCATCCCGTCTCACACAGTGGCCTCAACCAGTTCCTCTGGAGGGCCAATGAAAGGGCAGAGAGGCCGAGGCCTTCCCCTCATAAGAACATCAGAAGAGCCCTGATGGATCAGACCAGTGAGGGTCCATCTAGTCCAGCATCCCGTCTTACACAGTGGCCTCAACCAGTTCCTCTGGAAGGGCCAACAACAGGGCAGAGAGGCCGAGGCCTTCCCCTCAGAAAAACATTAGAAAATCACTGCTGGGTCAGACCAGTGAGGGTCCATCTAGTCCAGCATCCCGTCTCACACAGTGGCCTCAACCAGTTCCTCAGGAGGGCCAACAGCAGGGCAGAGAGGCCAAGGCCTTCCCCTCATAAGAACATCAGAAGAGCCTTGGCTGGATCAGACCAGTGAGGGTCCATCTAGTCCGGCATCCCGTCTCACACAGTGGCCTCAACCAGTTCCTCTGAAGGGCCAATAACAGGGCAGAGAGGCTGAGGCCTTCCCCTCATAAGAACATCAGAAGAGCCCCACTGGGTCAGACCAGTGAGGGTCCATCTAGTCCAGCATCCTGTCTCACACAGTGGCCTCAACCAGTTCCTCTGAAGGGCCATCAACAGGGTATGGAGGCTGAGGCCTTCTTCCCCTCATAAGAGTGTAAGAAGAGCCCTGCTGGATGAGACCAATAGTCCATCTAGTCCAGCATCCTGTCTCACACAGTGGCCAACCAGTTCCTCTGGAGGGCCAACAACAGGGCATAGAGGCCGAGGCCTTCCCCTGATAAGAACACAAGAAAAGCCCTGCTGCATCAGGCCAGTGATCCACCTAGTCCAGCATTCTGTCTCACACAGTGGCATCAACCAGTTCCTCTGGAGGGCCCACAACAGGGCAGAGAGAGGCTGAGGCCTTCCCCTGACGTTGCCTCCTGGCTCTGGGATTCAGAGGCTCAGTGCCTCTGAGTGTGGAGGTTCCCCTCAGCCACCATGGCTAGTAGTCATTGATGGACTTGTCCTCCATGAATCTCTCTAATCCCCTTCGAAAGCTGTTTATTCCTGTGGTCATCAGCTGAAGGCCAGCGCAGTGGTAGGGAGGATAAGGGAAGGACTGCAAGGCCCCCTTCTCACAAAACAGTAACTTACGCCTCAATTGGAAGCACGTGGGGGCCCGAGATGCTGTAACGGTAGAGGAAAGTGAGGAACTTGCAGAAGACGTCGAAGAAGGGCCAGTGCGACAAGACGCAGATGCTCTTGCGGGTCTGCACCATCTTGCTAGTGATGGGGCGCCGGTCGACCACGGTGAGTAGGTTGAGCCACAAGCACTGCCGTTCTGAGAGGAGCTCCCGTGGGAAAGGCTCATAGAACTGGATAGCGGCACCGTACACCTAGGGACGAGAGGGTAGGGGTCAGCGTGCCATACAGCTAGGGACAAGAGGGCAGGGGTCCGTGGTCATATACCTAGGGGAAAAATTAGGGGTTAGCGTGCCGTACAGCTAGGGACGAGGGGGTAGGGATCCGTGGTCATATACCTAGGGGAAAAGATTAGGGGTTAGCATGCTGTACAGCTAGGGACGAGGGGGTAGGGGGTCAGTGGTCATATACCTAGGGGAAAAGATGAGGGGTTAGCATGCCGTACAGCTAGGGACGAGAGGGTAGGGGTCAGTGGTCATATACCTAGGGGAAAAGATGAGGGGTTAGCATGCCGTACAGCTAGGGACGAGAGGGTAGGGGTCAGTGGTCATATACCTAGGGGAAAAGATGAGGGGTTAGCATGCCGTACAGCTAGGGACGAGAGGGCAGGGGTCGGCGTGCCATACACCTAGGGACAGGAGTGTAGGGGACAGCGCGCCATGCACCTAGCGATGCTCCCTCTAAGCTGTGGAGTCTTGTGAGCGAAAATCCTACTTTGTAAGCTACTGGCACTAAAGTTGTGAGTGAGCGATTTGGCTACTGCATAAGTTAGTTTGCTCTGGAGCCATCCTCCCTGAGCTAAGGCAAAAATGTGTGAGCTGCAGGCTAAAAAACTGTGAGCTAGCTCACACTAACTCAGGTTAGAGGGAACACTGCATAGAAATATAGCCTACTGTTGGTTTTGAACACCTTTTTTTGCAAGTAATGCTTAAATGTTATAACTAGGGGTCATTTCCTGCAGGAGCAGAGCTCCGGCAGTAAAGAGCCCAGGGGGTGGGCACATGCAACAAGCCTCACCCCCTGCTCCCAGCAGCCCTCAGAGCAAGAAGCAGCCAGGTACGTTGCAGAGCCCCCCGGTCCAAAACAGTCTAGTGGCACCTTTAAGACCAAGTTTTATTCAGGTACAAGCTCTCCCTCCTCTGCGAGGACAGATCTGCACATCCCCCCGCCCCCAATAGCTAGCGATCCAAAACAGTCCAGTGGAGCCTGAGTGGTGGGTGTTGCCTTCTGACACACTTCCGGTGATGTCAGGGGGTGTGGCTTATGCAAATAAGTTATGCTAATAGGTTATGCTAATTAGCTCCTGCACCTCTTTTTCTACAAAATGACCCCTGGTTATAAGCAATTTGTTGTATATGAGTTTATACCACTAACCCATCTTTGTACTTTAATGAATGTAAATCAGAAGATAACTAGTTCCTCTCCCCTCATTTCAAGGTGTTGATCTGGCAAAAATGACTTAGGCTGATGTGTTTGGTGGCACCTTGCCTTTGTAACAGCCTTCTCTTGAGGTTCCAGGGCAGAACGCCCATTTTTACCCAGGCTTTTAATTAGCTTTGATATAGATCTGCTTCTGGTCTGAAGTACATTTTTTGGATAGTTTTATGCCGTTTATCTTGGGTGGCTTGTTTGAACAACGTATTTATTTTTTTGCTGTTGATTTCTAATTTTGATTTTAAGCCGCCTCGAGCATGCCTCTACGGAAGAGGAACAGAAGTCTCTCAAACAAATATAAACAAAGGCGCTTAAGAGACTGAGGCACAACTCAGAAAGTCCACAACTGAAACCTCACCTCTGCCATAATCTCACTAGGTAAGACAGAAATAGACCAAACGGATAAATACACTTTCTAAATCGGTGGCCGTCAGCAAGTCGACTCAGCCTTAACTCCCACTTTACATTATATGATAACCTTAACTTACCAGTTTGGAGTAGTCGTGGTTAGGAGCACAGACTCTAATCTGGGAGAACCGGGTTTGATTCCCCGCTCCTCCACATGCAGCTGCTGGAGTGACCTTGGGTCAGTCACAAGTTCTCTCAGAGCTGTTCCCTCAGGAGCAATCCTCGAAAGAGCTCTCTCAGCCCCACCTCCCTCACGGGGTGTCTGTTGTGGGGAGGGGAAGGGAAAGGAGTTTGTAAGCCGCTCTGAGACTCCTTTGGGTAGTGAAGGGCGGGGTATAAATCCAATCTCTTCTTCTCACTGACAGGGCCTCTGGGACGCATGAAGCTCCCTTTTACTGAATCAGACCCACTGTCCATCAAAGTCAACATTGTCTACTCAGACTGGCAGTGGCTCTCCAGGGTCTCAGACAAAGTTCTTTCACTTCACCTCCTGTCTGGTCCTTTTAGCTGGAGATGCCGGGGATTGAATCTGCGACCTTCTGCATGCTAAGCAAATTCTCTACCAATGAGCTGAAGGCCCCCAAGTATTTGTTGTTGTTCAGTTGCAGTCAAGTCCGACTCTTCGTGACCCCATGGACCAGATCACGCCAGGCCCTCCTGTTTTCGGCCGTCCTCTGACGTTGGCTCAACTTCATGTTCGTTGCATCTATGACACTGTCTAACCATCTCCTCCTTTGCCGTCCCGTCTTCTTTGACCTTCAATCTTTCCCAGCATCAGGGTCTCCTCCAGGGAGTGCTCCCTTCTCATTGGGTGGCCAAAGTATTTGAGCTTCAGTTTCATTATCTGGCCTTCCAGGGAACAGTCAGGGCTGATTTCTTTGAGGATTGACTGATTTGATCTTCCTGCAGTCCAAGAGACTCTCAAGTATTACAAGGTCATAATGAAGCACTCTGTTATTATGACACCTACCTGTCTGGTTCCCTGTCTGTCTACCGTCCCCACCCAGATTGCCAGATAAACAACCTGCCAAGACGGGACCACGCCCCCGCCCTCCATTCAACTCCGAGGTCCAACGCTGCTGGCACCCAAGCTAATTCGATTTACTTTATTGACACGCTGCCGCTCCAGCCAAACGGTCATTTTACGGCCTCTTTATTCATTTAATTTATACCCCACCTTTCCCCCTAATGGGGACCAAGGTGGCTTGTATCATTCTCCAGAGCCAGTTTGGTGTCGTGATTAAGTGCGCAGACTCTAATCTGGGAGAACCGGATTTGATTCCCCACTCCTCCACTTGCAGCTGCTGGATGACCTTGGGCAAGCCATCGTTCTGTCAGAGCTGTCCTTGAAAGGGCAGTTCTCGAAAGAGCTCTCTCAGCCCCGCCTACCTCACAGGGTGTCTGTTGTGGGGGGAGGGGAAGGGAAAGAAGATGGTAAGCCGCTCTGAAACTCCAAGTGAAGGGCAGGGTATAAATCTCCTCCTCCTCTTCTTCTGTTTTATCTTCACAACCACCCTGTGAGGTAGGTCAGGCTGAAAGTGTGTGACTGGCCCAAGGCCACTCAGCAGGCCTCCATGACAGAGCAGGCATTCGAACCTGGTTTCCCCAGATACCTAGTCCAATACTCTCTAACCACTAGACCACACTGCCTCTTCACGGCAGCCCACCTTTCCCAGAGCCGCCACCCGCCCGTTTCACGCTACCTTGTCCCCCGAGGCCCCAGTCAGCACAAAGGTGGAGAAGACAGGAAGCTGGTACTTCGTGTCGGCTGGCCAGCTCTCGATGGTGGCGCCCATGGGCAAGCAGAAGACAGGCACGGATTCGGGCAGCGGGAAGCTCTCGGCATCCTCTTTGGGATAGCGGCTGAGGAGACCTGGTGAGGGAGGAAAACAAACAAACAAACATTAAAAGCCAGTTTGGTGTCATGGTTAAGTGCGCGGACACTAATCTGGGAGAACCGGGTTTGATTCCCCACTCCTCCACATGCAGCTGCTGGTGTGACCTTGGGTCAGTCACAAGTTCTCTCGGAGCTATTCTCTCAGGAGCAGTTCTCGAAAGAGCTCTCAGCCCCACCTACCTCACAGGGTGTCTGTTGTGGGGAGGGGAAGGGAAAGCAGATTGTAAGCTGCTCTGAAACTCCTTCGGGTAGTGAAGGGCGGGGTATAAATCCAATCTTCTTCTTCTACTTAAAATGGGCTCCATGTTTTATCTATAACTTTTGTCCCACTCTTCTTCTACGGGAGGGGCTCCCAACCTTTTTGAGTCCGCGGTCACATTTGGAATTCTGAATCCAGCCTCAGCAACCTCACACGGTGGTTGTGAGGAGAAAATGGAGGACAGGAGAAGGTCGCAAGCCGCCCTGTGTCCCCACTGGGCAGAAAGGTGGAATATAAGTTTTTTGTAAATGAGTTAATAATTGTTCTCAAGGAGCAGAATGAGAATCAGTTTTAAACATAACACACTGAATATAAATGTGTGTGAGGAAATGGCCTCTGGGGAGAACATCTTTTTAAAATGTTCTTATTTTTGAGGTATATAATAGACTTCCGTTCTGTATTTTTGTTATATTATCTACCTGTTAAAAGTAATAGTGAGTATGCAGAAGAAGAGCTCTTGGGGCTCTTTAACTTGGAGAAACGACGGCTGAGGGGTGACATGATCGAGGTTTACAGGATTATGCATGGGACAGAGCAGGTCAAGAAAGAAGGACTTTTCTCCCTTTCTCACAATACAAGAACTCGTGGGCACTCCATGAAATTGCTGAGCAGTCGGGTTAGAACGGATAAAAGGAAGTCCTTCTTCACCCAAAGAGTGATTAACACATGGATTTCATCGTCACAGGAAGTGGTGGTGGCTGCAAGCAGAGACAGCTTCAAGAGGGAATTAGATAAGCATATGGAGCAGAGGTCCATCAGTGGCTATGAGCCACAAGGTACAGATAGGAATTCTCAGGCTGGGGCAAGGGATGCTCTGTATTCTCGGTGCTTGGGGTGGGGTGGGGGACAGTGGGAGGGCTTCTAATGTCCTGGCCCCACTGCTGGACCTCCTGATGGCACCTGGAATTTTTGGCCACTGTGTGACCCAGAGTGTTGGACTGGATGGGCCATTGGCCTGATCCAACATTGGCTTCTTTTATGTTATGTTTAAGAGAAAACAAGTAATACTATGTCGCAATGGTGATACTAATAATATGGCTGCAAAACAGACTAGGTTTGAAATCAGAAATGCAAAATTAGGAATATAAACAAAAATGCACCCATCAGAAGCAAAGCTCCCTCCATGCTGCGGAGTCTTGTGAGCAAAAATTCCACTTTGTGAGCTACTGGCATTAAAGTTGTGAGTGAGCGATTTGGCTGCTGCATAAATTAGTTTGCTCTGGAGCCGTCCTTCCTGAGCGAAGGCAAAAATGTGTGAGCCGGAGGCTAAAAAACTGTGAGCTGGCTCACACTAACTCAGCTTGGAGGGAACATTGATCAGAAGTAAATATCATTGTATGATATGGACAAAGTCCAAAAAACTTTTCAGTGTAACAAAGGGGATGCGGGGAGAACTATTCGTCTGTCTTTTATATTTGGTTATATATAATCACCTTTGATATATTTAAGTATGTGAGGTGACCCCTTTTTTCTCTTTCTGTATTTTCTTCATGTTATTTCTCTGTTCTTTCAAAACAAAAAAGAAATAATTGTTCTCATTTTTTCATTTATGTATGAGAAAAACACAACTGTTCTTTTAAAAGACAATATTTTGATGGGGGACTTCACCGTGACAGGAATCTTCATCTGAGAGACTTTGTCCTTCTCCTACATATATTGAAGGAAATCCCCTCATGAACACCATCTGACAAGAAGCACAGTCCATTATCCTGTCCACACAGGTAGAAATGCTTTGGCAATTTTGGAAGAGGCATTCAACTTCTACCCCATGCCTATGAGGGAATAGCTCAGTCAGGCACTCTTTCGAAAGAGGCATTTCCTCTTCGGTCTCAAGCACCTGAGGGAAAATGTCTCATCCATTATTACATAGGGATTCACTTCATTTACATATCCCCTTTCTCCCCAACGAGGACTCAAAATTATTTACGTCCTGCTCCTCTCCTCCATTTTATTCTCACAACAACTCTGTGAGGTAGATTAGACTGAGAACGTGTGGCAGGTCCAGCGAGCTTTCACGCCAGAGCGGGAATTTGAACCCGGGTCTCTCAGATCCTAGTCTGACATTCTAACCACTCCATCATGCTGGCTCATAACAGGAATTCCCCCTCTCGATGTTTCCTCTGACAATGCATTTGCCACCCTTCAGTTTCACATGCACATGTATTAAAAGTAGTTTCAGAGGATAACTGTGCTGGTGTGAGGTAGAAGACAAGAATAGAAGAGAGATTGGATTTATACCCCACCCTTCACTACCTGAAGGAGTCTCAGAGCGGCTTACAATCTCCTTTCCCTTCCCCTCCCCACAACAGACACCCTGTGAGGTAGGTGGGGCTGAGAGAGCTCTTTCAAGGACTGCCCTTGAGTGAACAGCTCCGAGAGAACTTGTGACTGACCCAAGGTCACACCAGCAGCTGCATGTGGAGAAGTGGGGAATCAAACCCGATTCACCCAGATTAGAGTCCGCACACTTAACCACTATACCAAATGTACGACATTATATCCTATGGAAGTTTTTCTCTTCTTCCCAGCTGGAGAAGCTTTCGAAGAAGAAGAAGAGGAGGAGGAGGAGATTGGATTTATACCCCACGCTTCACTACCCGAAGGAGTCGCAGAGCAGCTTACAATCTCCTTTCCCTTCCCCTCCCCACAACAGACACCCTGTGAGGTAGGTGGGGCTGAGAGAGCTCTTTTGAGAACTGCTCCTGAGAGAACAGCTTTGAAAAAACTTGTAACAGAGCTAGTTTTGATATCAGCAGTATCTTAGAGACGAACAAGATTTTCAGGGTATGAGCCTTTCAAGAGTTAAGTGGGTTTAAATTAAGGGTGGGAAGATATGAGGAAAACCCTTTTTACAGTGAGAGTTGTGCGACAGTGGAATCAGCTGCCTAGGGAGGCGGTGAACTCCCCCTCACTGGCAGTCTTCAAGCGGCAGCTGGACAAACTCTTGCCCCCTTCTAGCTCCATGATTCCACACCCTGAAAATCTTGCTGGCCTGTAAGGTGCTACTGGATTTCAAACTAGCTGTATTAAAAATATTTTCAAAACTTGCTAAAAATATACCGACGGATGAACCAGCGATTTCTGGTCTCGACAACCGATTATCGCAGCCCTAAGAAACAATGCCCACCATGGTGGTCATGATCCCCACGATAAACACAGAATAAGAGAAAATCCTGAAATTGCAGGTATATTTGTCACGGGGAAAATCGGAAGCCTCTTTTCCTTTTAATTTATATAGCTTCTCTCTCTTTTTTATCTGCTTCCCCCCCCTGCTCTGTTATCTGTAATTTTTTCTTCTAATAAAAATTTTAATCAGGAAAAAAGATCCCCACGATAAACACAGAGTAAAAGAAAATCCTGAAATTGCAGATATATCTGTCACAGAGGAGATCGGAAGCCTCTTTTCCTTTTAATTTATACAGCTTCTCTCTTTTTTTCTCTCTGCTTTCCCTCCCTGCTCTGTTATTTCTTTGTTATCTGTAATTTTTTCTTCTCATAAAAATTTTAATCAGGAAAAAAGATCCCCACGATAAGCACAGAGTAAGAGAAAATTCTGAAATTACACATATATTTGTCACAGAGAAAATCGGAAGCCTCTTTTCCTTTTAATCTACATCGCTTTTCTCTTCTGTTTCTCTGCTTTTCCCCCTGCTCTGTTATTTCTGTTATCTGTAAATTTTCTGTAATCTGTAATTTTTATTTTATTTTATTTCTGTTTTATTTTTATTTATTTAATTTTCTTTCTGTTATCTGTAATTTTCTGTAATCTGTAATTTGTAATTTTTCTTCTCATAAAAATTTTAATTAAAAAAAGAGAGATCCCCACGAGCCGTTCACTCATCCTTCACACGCAGCCACTGACCTGCTTCATACACCAGGGTGTTCCCTTTGGCCAGAGCCTTCTTGTAGCAGAGAAAGAGAGCCGGGCCCCACTGCAGGGGAGAAAAGAGGAGACATCAACCAAGAAACCAGAAAGAGACTGAGACTGGGAACGGCAGCCGTGAAGGAGCTAGAGAAGATCCTTAAGTGTAAGGACAGGTTGCTGGCGACGAAGATCAAGTTAATGCATGCCGTAGTATTCTCCATTATTACGGATGGGTATAAAAGTTGGACAACGAAGACAGCTGCCAGGAAGAATGCGGACTCGTTTGAAATGTAGTGGAGGAGAATTTTACAGATACTGTGGACCGCCAAAAAGACAAATCAGTGGGTTTTAGATAAAATCAAGCCTGAACTCTTGCAGGAAGCTAAATGGAGGGTTACCACGTCTTACCTGGCTGCTGGCGGGGGGGGGGTCCCCTCTCCATGCCCGGGACTTTTCAGCACGCATGCAAAGTGTGTGCGCCATGATGACGTCACCTGGGGGGGGGTTTGCGGGGGACACTCTAGCGTTTGATTTAAAAACTCTATGGTAACCACAGAGTTTTTTCTCAAACGCTAGAGTCTCCCCCACGCAAGATGCCCTGTGCAAGGACATCACCTCTGGGTGACGTCATTATACCAGGCACACTGGCACGGACAGGGCTCTTTGGGGGCGGGGCTCCCCCCCTTGGCTGGCTGGGAGATGGCAGACAGTGGGCCCTGAAAGCGGGTAAACCCCCACCTGTCAGGGAACCCTAGCTAAATGATTAAACTGAGGCTATCATAGTTGGGTCACATTCTGAGAAAACAAGACTCAATGGAAAAGACAATCGTGCGGGGGACACTCTAGCGTTTGATTTAAAAACTCTATGGTAACCACAGAGTTTTTTCCTCAAACACTAGAGTATCCCCCACGCAACATGCCCTGCGCAATGACATCACCTCTGGGTGACGTCATTACGCCAGGCACATTGGCACGGACAGGGCTCTTTGGGGGCGGGGCTCCCCCCCTTGGCTGGCTGGGAGATGGCAGACAGTGGGCCCTGAAAGCGGGTAAACCCCCACCCCTGTCAGGGAACCCTAGCTAAATGACTAAACTGAGGCTATCATAGTTGGGTCACATTCTGAGAAAACAAGACTCAATGGAAAAGACAATCGTGCTAAGAATAGTTGAAGGAAAAGAGAAAGGCCCAACATGAGATGGATTGACTCCCTCAAGGAAGACACGGCCCTCTGTTTGCGAGACCTGAGCGAGGCTGTAAACGACAGGCCGTATCGGAGGTCATTCATTCATAGGGTCTCCATAAGTCGGAAGTGAATCGACAGCACTCAATACACAAAATGAGATGGAAACACGTAGGCCCAAGCTGCTCCAGATGGTCCCCCCGGCCCCCTCCCTCTCTCCCGGGACCCACCATGCCGGCATTGAGGTTCCGGTCCACGCGGCAGAACGTATGGGGCGTGCTCTCCCCTTTGCTTGGCATGATGAGGCAGATATCGGTGACGCCCAGCGTGCTGTAGCCCTGACCCTCGCTGGCTCGACGGAAGGTCAGGAAGGTGCGCTGGTGGCCGGGGCCTCCGGAGGCCAGGTTGGCAGAGCGGCTGTAGGGAGTCGTGTCGATGATCTTGTGGCCCGTCTTGGGGCGGTCCTTCCCGTCATAGTGGACCCTAGAGAACGGTAACCAGAGCGAAGACATCAGAGTGGGGGTGGGAATCGCCCCTTTCATGATTTGGGAACTTAAGTTTTGGGTTCCCTACAAGTGGGGCAGAAGAAGTAGAAGTAGAAGAAGAGGAGGAGGAGGAGGAGATTGGATTTATACCCCGTCTCAGAGCGGCTTACAATCTCCTTTCCCTTCCCCTCCCCACAACAGACACCCTGTGAGGCGGGTGGGGCTGAGAGCGCTCTTTCGAGGACTGCTTGTGACAGAACAGCTCCGAGAGAGCTTGTGACTGACCCAAGGTCACCCAGCTGGCTGCATGCTGAGGAGTGGGGAATCAAACCCAGTTCTCCCAGATTAGAGTCCGCGCTCTTAACTACTACACCAAACTGGCTGAGGATGTAGTCGCACGGAGCAAAGCATATCCTTGCAGTCTCAGGGACTAGAAACTTGTTTTTTAAAAAATATATATATAATAAGTGAAATTTGAGATAACTTATTTACTTCACTCATACTCTCTAACGGGGACCTAAAAAGTGGCTTACAACACTCTCCCCTTTTCCGTTCCAGCCTCACAACGATCTGTAGAGGTAGGCTCGGCTGAGGTCCAAGGTCACCCAACAAGCTTCTGTAGCAGAGCAGGGGTTCGAACCCAGGTCTCCCAGATCCTAGACACTCTTAACCACTACACCACACTGGGTTTTGTAAATGGAGGCATCTTTTAAGGGGGGAGGGAGAGAACTATCCTTGCGAGAACAGCTCTGAAAGAACTTGTGACTGACCCAAGGTCACAACAGCAGCTGCAAGTGGAGGAGCGGGGGAATCAAACCCGGTCCTCACAGATTAGAGCCTGCACTCCTAACCACTACACCAAACTAAACAAAACTGAGAGCTGAACAGAAAGATGGGTTTACCTGAATAAAACTTGGTCTTAAAGGTGCCACTGGACTGTTTTGGACCAGGGGGAGCTCTGCATCGTACCTGGCTGCTTCTTGTTCTGACTGAGGGCTGCTGGGAGCAGGGGGTGGGGCTTGTTGCATGTGCCCGCCCCCTGGGCTCTTTACTGCCGGAGCTCCGCTCCTGTGCGCTCCTGCAGGAAATGACCCCTGGGGAGGACCCTCTGGGCAATGATCGCTCATCCCCTACTGATTTCTCAAAAGCAAACGAAAACCTCTTCGTTTCAGTCCGCTCTCTGCAGCGGACGTTATTTCTGCCCCGCTGCTTTCCGCCTGCAGTCATGTTTAGCTGTCATTTCACATCACTTCCTCATTTGCATTTGGGGTTTTCTTTTTTTAAAAAAAGATATCACAGTTTCTTTGTTCGCTGCACTGGAAGTTCTCCATTTGCCAGGCCTGAGCAGGGCTGTGAACGACAGGATGCTTCGGAGGTCATTCATTCATCAGTTCAGAGGGGCGGCCGAGTTAGTCTGCAGTCGAACAGCTCGACTTGAGTCCAGTAGGACCTTAGAGATCGGCAAAAAAAAAAAAACTGGGTGCAGGCTTTCGAGAATCAGAGCTCCCTTCGTCAGATATCTGACAGCTGCCAAAATCTAGGACTCCTCTATCCTGGCAAAGCCCCGTTGCTGTTGCTCGCCTGGGCCTCACTGCTGCTCACCCTAGGCGAGCAGGCCAAGATATCTGACGAAGGGAGCTTTGACTCGCGAACGCTTGCGCCCAAAAAATCTTTGGCGTAGTGGTTTGGCGTAGTGGTAAAGTCCTTCAAGAGCCCCCGCCCAACCAGCGACCGTCAGAGTGGATTTGGGGGAGCTAACAGGATATGGCCGCTTCCTATCCGGGGAGCTCAGAGTCAGAGGGCACCTTTGGCATGCAGAAGATCACTGGGTCGAGTGCCGGCCTGTGCCAACATGCCCCAGCCAGTGTTCCCTCTAAGCTGAGCTAATGTGGAGCTAGCTCGCAATTTTTTAGCCTCCGGCTCACACATTTTTCCCCCCGCTCAGGAAGGGACGGCTCCAGAGCAAACTAATCTATGCAGTAGCCAAATGTGCTCGCTCACAATTTTAATGCCAGTGGCTCACCAAGTAGAGTTTTTGCTCACAAGACTCCACAGCTTAGAAGGGAGCACTGGCCCCAACCTGGATGGCCCACGCAAGCTGGATCTCGTCAGATCTCGGAAGCTAAGCAGGGTCGGCCCTGGTTAGTATTTGGATGGGAGACCTCCAAAGAACACCGGGGGTCGTGACGCAGAGGCAGGCAACGGCAAACCACCTCTGAAACGTCTCATGCCTTAAAAACAGGTCTAGCTCGCCACCTAGTGGTGCATGACGCTAAAGGAGCTAGAACTTCCGGCTGCCGGACAATCTTAGGATCTCCTGGCTATGCCACACACAATGTGGGGCAACTGCGCTAGAAAATATTTAAATAATGATCACAAAATTTATACAAAAATGTATACCAAAAAATCTGCATATATAAATGCACAAAGGCAGCTGAAAAGGGTAAAACTGACAATGATCTCCGGGATGTTCTATCGTTTCGATACTATTCTGTTTCCGAATGGGGATGAAAGCAGCGACTCTGGGTCTGTTATTTCAACAGGTACGTATCAACCATTTCATTAATTTTCACCAATGTATCATAACATAGCTGCAAGAGATTCTCTGAAAGGACATTCCTAGGGCAGAGTGCTTGCACAATGCGGGGGAACGCCTTTCTCTGCTGGAGACCCAGGAGAGCCGCTGTAAATCCTGTCCTGGGTTAGAAGGCCCAACGGGACGTGGTTACGTACATCACGAAAGTGTTCTTTTTAGGGGACAGTAGGGCCCCTTCCAACTCTGGGATTCTATGATTCTAATGTCCCTCATTCAAGTAGCACCTGCACCAGCTGGAAGGTCAAAAGGACTGGTAGGGAACTGTGCTTTCAGCCCCACTACCTCTGCAGATCTTCCTTCTTTTTATTCCTCGATCTTTCTTTCTGTGTCTCTTTTGCAAAGCATCAAGGGAGGTATTCTGTTTGGCTCCATCTCCTGAGAAAGCCGTTTCGGGGCAGCGCTCACCACCTGGTTTCCAAATCCCAAAGGTGCCTGAAGGTCCAGAAAGGTTGGGGGACCCTCGGTTGGACATCTCACGTCGCAGTTCGGAGAGCACCCGTGCCAGACCAAATGCCACCCCTCCGCTCGGCCACTTACCCCAACTCGACAATGGGCAGTTTGTCCCGCCCCCGTTTGTAGCAGATGTACATCTGGGGGTTGTTGAGCAGGCCGGCGTTGAGCTCCACGGGGTTCCCCGACGTCGTGCGCTCGATGCACGTGAAGCCATGGGGCACCTCTTCGCCCTGAGAGCGGATGATGACCGCCACGTCACTGATGGGCTCGCAGGGACGGGACGCCCGTGGCGGCTGGCCTTCGTCCTCGAGCGGCTTGGAGGTGTCCGACAAGCCGGCCACCACGAAATAGTCCACCAGCTGCGGCACCCGCTCCTCCGTCATGGCAGCAGGTCACGGCATCTGGGAAAAGAGAAGGGGGGGGAATGAGGGGGTCACCAGAGACACTGATGCACTGGGCGGGCACTATGGAGACGGTACTCCTTCCTCCTATCACAGCTCAGGGCCCTAAGCCAATGACAGCCGCGGGAACTCCAGGCGGAACGTTCGCCGTGGTGAGGACAGCATATCGCCATGGAGATGGGACTCGCCATAGCCAATGGGCACCACCTCCTAGCAACAGGTATCCCCTCAGACTACATGACCACACTGGGAACCACAGAACTTAGGATACAGTCCCATGGGAGGCTTTTGTGGCTCAGTGGCAGAGCACCTGCTTGGCATCCAGAAGGTCCCTAGTTCAATCCCCAGCATCTCCAGCTAAAAGGATCAGGTAGCAGGTGCTGGGAAAGACCTCTGCCTGAGACCCTGGAGAGCCGCTGCCAGCCTGAGTAGGTGCTGTGGCTCAGTGGAAGAGCATCTGCTTGGCATGCAGAAGGTCCTAGGTTCAACCATAAGAACATAAGAGAAGCCATGCTGGATCAGGCCAATGGCCCATCCAATCCAACACTCTGTGTCACACAGTGGCCAAAAGCCAGGTACCATCAGGAGGTCCACCAGTGGGGCCAGAACTCCAGAAGCCCTCCCCCTGTTGTCCCCCCCAAGCACCAAGAATACACAGCATCATTGCCCCAGACACAGTGCTCTGTCTATACCTTGTGGCTAATACCAGTGATGGACTTCTGCTCCATACGTTGATCCAATCCCCTCCTGAAGCTGTCAATGCTTGTAGCCGCCACCACTACTTCCCGTGGCAGTGAATTCCACGTGTTAACTACTCTTTGGGTGAAGAAATACTTCCTTTGATCTGTTTTAAGCCTACTGCTCATTAATTTCACTGAGTCCCCACGAGTTCTTGCATGGTGAGAAAGGGAGAAAATTACTGTTCCTTGGAAGGCCAAACACTGAAGCTGAAGTTCAAATACTTTGGCCACCAAATGAGAAGGGAGCACTTGCTGGAGAAGACCCTGATGCCGGGGATGACTGAAGGTAAATGCAGAAGAGGACGGCAAAGGATGAGATGGTTAGACAGAGTTATAGACGCAACAAACACGAAACTGAGTAAACTCTGGAGGACAATGGAAGACCTCGCGTGATGTGGTCCATGGGGTTGTGAAGAGTTGGACACAACTGTGTGACTGAACAACAACAATCCTTTGCATTCATGTCACCTTTTTCATCTAAAAAATCCTGATATTTAAATTTTTTATACCTTTTATATAAGGATGGTTTCACAAACGCTTCTATTGGTGAAATCCATCTAGGGAATTTCACATATGTTTTAACTTTAATTTCATCCCAAACCTTGTATAATGCCCCTCTTATTGTATGATGTTTAAAATTACTGTGTACTGAGGCCTTATTGTACCACAGATACGAGTGCCAGCCCATCCACAAATCGTGGCCCTCAAGTTTTAAAATCCTATCATCGTCCAATGTTACCCAATCTCGGAGCCAGCTCATCGCTGCTGCTCTATAGTACAAAGCCCAATCTGGTAACGCCAGACCACCTCTGATTTTCCTTTCTTGTAAATATTTTAGTTTAATCCGTGGTTTTTTATTTTGCCAGACAAAGCCTTTTATTATTTTTTCTATTTCTTTAAAAAAGGTTTGATTCCTCAAAACCGGTATTGTTTGGAAGAGAAACAGTATTCGGGGTAGAACATTCATTTTCACTGCTGATATTCTACCTAGCAGTGAAAATTGTAATGATTTCCATCTCTCTAGATCTTTTTTTATTTCCCCCAAGACTTTTTGGTAATTATCATCATATAAAGAACAACATCTATTTGTTAAAGTTATTCCCAAATATTTTACTTTTTTACAAACTTCAAAGCCTGTTATTTCCTGTATTTTTTTCTTTTTTCCCTCATCACAATTTTTAACCAAAATCTTTGTCTTTTTATGATTTATCTTAAGACCAGCTACATC